TATGGATTCGACGAGGACAAGGAGGTTCTCACGTTCAGAGATCTGTTCTCGCGAATGATCATGGCACTTCAGACGAAGCGCCTGAGTTTGTGCGTGCCTGCAAGGCACTGAAGATCGAGCACAACACAAGTTTGCCCGGGAGAAAGAAGAATAAATCCCTTGCCGAGAGGAACAATCTTTACATCATTGACCAGGTGAGTACGTGCCTGCTGGCTGCAGGACTACCACCATGCTACTGGTCATTCGCATTAGACACCACCTGCACCTTGATGAACGCAGAGAAGGTCGATGGAGAGAGTGCCTAGGAAAGAGGCGCCGGAGAAGAATTCAGTGGACCACTAATCCCATTTGGGGCTCTGGTGGATTTCATGCCTTCTCCGACTAGGGACGACACGCGCAAGTTTGCTCCCAGATCCAAGAGAGGAGTGTTCGTCGGATACGTGACTAACTCAAGCAATACTTGGAGGAAGCAGATGAAAGTGTGGGCTCTAGATCAATTCATCCGAGCCAATCTGTCGAATGAGTGCAGGGCACCTCCACCCAATCTCAGGAGACCTCACCTCACCGACAAGGTGATGCTGGTTCATCCAATCCAATTCCCACTGAAATCGCCGTTTGAAAAGATCAATAATCAATGGGAACTTAGAACAGCTTGTCGATGATGATGAGCATGGGGATGCACCTGAGCCCATCGAGGATGATGGGGACGGAGGCGACGGTGGCGACGGCGATGATGATGACCCTGACGGTGACAAAGGAAAGGTCAAAGACGATCCAAAAGGTTTGTTCGGCATCGAGGACAAGGGCAAAGGCGAGAAGGCCGACCACCCCGACACGAAAGGGGAACGAGTGACCGAGGACGGAATTCCAATTCCTCCGCGAGTCCCGAAAAAACGAAGAGAAAGTCCGAGGCGAGCTTTGCATCACAATGTCCACGCACTACTTGGGACTATGGTCCTAGCTGGACTCTGGTGTATGGAAGGACTACCGTCGACGTTGACACAAAGGAGGTGATCGATTGTTTGAACTTCATCCACGCCAATGGCGAGGAGCGCTACACCAAGCGTTTCGCTCGAGAGAGGCAGATCGAGACACACTTCTGGTACGGGCGAGACCCCGATGAGCCATTCGACAGAGGCAAATCATCTTTCAAGCATGTCAGTGAAGGAAAAGAATCTGACGGGGTGATCTATGTCAATGACGACGGGAGGCTGGTCAAGATTGCCAAGAACGGATCCATGTACGAAGTCGGAGACGATGGTCGGAGAAAATGTTCAGGCGCTAGACCGCCCTGGATTTCACCCGAAGAATGGAAGAGAACGAGCTATAGCGCTCGGAAGGCATGGGCTGAGGCCGACAACAAGGTGAAGAAGGACTGCAACAAGATCGAGAAAGAGATCAAGAAGAAAAAGAAGGGCGGCGATGCGAAGGATGCCGCTGTCGAAGCTCTTGTCAATCAGCTCCGCCGAGCTCGCAAGCAGGGCAGAGACAAAGCCCGTGAAGAGATGAGGAAGTGGAACGAAGAGACGACCCCGCTTGACAATCGAGGACCTGTTTTCCGCCAGATGGGGAAGGCGTGAGTGGGTAGTGGCCGAGGTCACTCCGGAGCTCATTAATGACCCGCGGAGATGGGACGAATGGAAGGCCGAAGCGATGGGCAAAGATCTCAAGACCATATCCATGACGGACTATAAAGGAAAAGTAGTGGTGATGAAATCCGTGGATACGGACATGGAGATTGGTCCGGCTTGCGAGATGTGCAATGTCAGTGAACAATCTGTGAGGAAATACGGATTGGCAGAACTCAAGAAGTGGGTAGTTGGTTCCGAAGGAAAGGTCAGGACGTGGTGTGCGTGGGCGAAAGGTGTTGTACGGAGTCCGTCAATGCTGGCCGAGGTGGGGAATGACGGATGGGAACAATGGGAGAACTTTGTGGACTCGCTGAAACCCATCATCAACACGCCTCACAACACCAACAAAGACCGGAACACCCCACCAGCAATGCCTTGCGCACCGAGTGACGGCAATCATCGGGACAAGCTTGAGAATGCGTTTCGAGGATTGTTCAATGCACTGGTGTCAAGACCTGTCGGCCGTGGTGAAATGCTCAGCAACCCAAAGGCTGTCAAAGCCACATGAAGAAAGAGTGGAACGGGCTCTTTGACCAAGGAGTTTTCGACATGAAGTCTGTCCGAGAAATGGACGATGTGGTCAGCGAAGCAAAGAGGGAAAGGAAGGAGATACACCTCGCCCGTGTCCATGGAATATGTGTGGAAAAGAATGAGCAGCTTCCTGAAAACGACGAAAGAAGAAAGTTTAAATACCGAGTGGTGGTTGTTGGAAATCAAGTGAAGAATCAGGATATGGGAACGGCGTTGTTCCACGATTTGGGCAATACTCCGGCAACGTTCGAGGCTTCTAGATGGGCTGACTTCCTAGGATGCCTCGCGGGCTGGGATGTTCAAGTTGCGGATGCCATTCCGGCCTATGTCCAAGCCTTGCTGAGAGGTCCCCCATTTTGGGTGGAAATCCCTCGAGAAGCATAGCCAGAAGATGGTTCGTGGAACAAATTCCGCAGACCAGTGGTAAGATTGATCAAAGCTTTGTATGGTCACCCAGACGCTGGAACGTTCTGGGCGGAACACTGTGACAAGAGTGTGAAGGCAGTTGGGTTCGAACCAGTCGGCGGTGAATGGCCCTCTGTGTACGTCCATCGGCAGCTGAAGATCTTGTTAGTTGTGTATGTGGATGATTTCAAGATGGCCGGCCCGAAGGAGAATCTGAAGCAAGGTTGGAATCTATCGCGAAAGAATCTTAGCATAGAACCCGAAGCCAGTCTAGGTTTTTACCTAGGATGCAATCAGATCAAAGGAGCAAAGAAGACGTATGATGGAACTGTCGTGAATTCTGTGACGTCTGACGCACGACATGGAAGAATACTTGTCGATGTCAGTGCAGAAATATTTCGACATTGCGGGCAAAGGGACAGTACTCAAGACAGTGAGGACACCCTCACTACCTGAGAAACAAAACCATCCCGCGCGAAGACCCTATTCCGATGGAAAAGGGATGAAGTGCCCGTGGTGCGCCCACACTTTCGACCCGGAGGTCAAGTTCCTTGAGTTGACTGACCAGGCGGAAAGCGCGCAAAATGCCATCAGGGGAGAGTTGGCGCCACACGCGGCAAGCATTCTGATGAAACTGCTATACGCAGCACGGATTGCAAGGTTTGACCTCTTACGACCTATCAATCAATTGGCTCGTAATGTCACAAAGTGGAAGAAAGAAGATGACAGACGACTCCACCACCTCATGTGCTATGTCAACTTCTCCAAAAGTTGGAAGATGACTGGCTGGGTAGGAGATCCTCTGAAAAAGATTCATGTAGCGATGTTCGCTGATGCTGACTTCGCCGGATGCATGGCCTCCCTGCGTTCTACGTCAGGTTGTCACGTGAATCTGCAAGGTCCCAACACGCGGTTTCCGCTGATCGGGTCCAGTAAGCGACAAGGATTTACTAGTCACTCGACTCCGGAAGCAGAAATTGTTGCAGCAGATACCACCATGAGGAATCACGGAATCCCTGCAGCTGTCTTCTGGGAAAAGGTCATTCAGACCACTCCTCAAGTGACTATGTACGATGACAATCAGTCGATGATTGCGGTAGTGCGCACCGGTTGGAACCCGACCATGCGACACTTGGAAAGGTGTCACGGCATCTCTATCGCATGGATGCATGATCAGTATCAGAAAGAGGAGTTCCATCTGATGTACGAAGTTACGTCAAAGATGGCTGCTGATATCTACACCAAAGCATTTACTGATGCGGTGAGATGGAAGCTCGCGTGTTTGCTGATCAACATCTTTGAGGGTGAAGAGATGCTGGACAAAGAAGTGATGGATGCGCTCAGGCCAACCCACGATGTGAAGTCCGGCGCGTCTCAGGCATATGGTCAGATGGTGGGCAAGGTTCCGGCCTTCCCATACACCAGACTCCAATCTTGCCAGAAAAGGTGTACATGCCAGGCGACACGTCCAAAGTGGGACTTCACGAAGGGAAAGGAGTTGACCCATTCCTGGTGGCGAAGGTGCCTCAATGACAAGGATCAGCGCGTGCGATGCTTCTGCCCTGACTTTGTGGAAGACCCCCTGGCGGTGGAGAGTTGGTTCGACGAGAACCTGGAGCGCGAATTATGGCGCGCAACTACGTGGACTTTGAGCACAACACCAAGAGCAAGCGCTGGGAGGACAAACTACATCCTGTTCCCCACGGAGTACGCCTGCCCAAGAACGATGAGCTGAAGATCTACGACCAGGAGAGCTTCGTGGTTGGTGTGGGTCGAGCTACCAGAGGTACGTCCACATGGGTCTCGAGGGAGTGTGGCGGCGCGCACCGAGGAGGAGGACAGTGACTGGCAATGGTCACACGTGCTGGAGTCCATCGACGTGTCGCCGGACGGCTAGGATGCTGACCACGAAGGAGCGCCATCACAACGCGTCTACATCCGGCACGACGAGAGCATCGATGGCGGCAAGCGCAAGCGACGTCGCCGACGACCTCATCAACAACCAGAACATCGATGGCTACATCGACACGAACATCAATGCACCAAGATCCTCGGCTGGGGCTGGGATGGCGCACCGCCCGAGATGCAGCCCTTCTTCGAGAAGCAGGACTTCGAGCAGAGCTACTTCCACCACATCGACGAGCTCTCCAAGGTCAACGAGAAGGTTAACGACGACGTGCAGGCGGACGTGGAGAACCACAAGATGCAGAATCACGGCGGTGACTGGACTACGCACTGGCTTTCGCAGCCCATGGGTGCCAACGTCTTCAACGTCACCGAGGAGACGGAGAAGGTCATCAACGAGGCCAACACCAGCGACGAGGACGGCGCCGACAGGCAGGAGGCCAGTCGGGCCCACAAGCAAGCACTCAAGCGTAAAGCGCCTTGGAAGGCAATCCCCGAAAAGGACTTCACACAAGCCCTGCTGGATGAATGAAACGAATGGATGAAATGGTCCAGCTGCCGACTGGCGTGGGCACAGGCAGACAAGATCGAGCCGCGGCTCATCTTGAAGTCCAGGGCTTGCTGCACATGGAAGCCAAAAGGCTCGCATCGTTGTGCAAGGCTACAGGGACCCTTCCGGTCCTCGCCAAGACCACGCTGGTGCTGATGTTGCAATGGACAGCCTGCCACAATGTGCCGGTGTGGAACGGCAATTCAAATCAGCCTTCCCTTCAGGGTGAACCTGACACCGAGCGGCCTGCCTGCATCTACATGGCCCCGCCCAAGGATGGCATCGCTCTGGCAGCTGCGGAGGAGTGGAGAGATAAGAGCTTGCTGTACCAGCTCACAGCTCCTGTGTATGGCCAAGCCAATGCTCCTCGACGTTGGTACCTTCATGTACTGCGCACGCTGCTGGATCGCCAATGGCAAGTTCACACATTGGACCCTTGCTTTGTGTTGATGATCAAGTTGCAGCGCTTCTAGGAATTCATGTGGGCGATATCGTCGCCTGCTGCCTGCCCGGGTATGAGCACGACCTGGAGTCGGTCAAGGCTGCTCTCGGGCGGGGCAGCGAGTGGGAGGCCGACGACTTCACCTTCGTGGGCCAACCTGACGGCGGCTTCCACATGGACCAGTTGCACTATCTGGCGGGCGTCTCCAAGTCCAAGATCTGCCACAACTGGAAGGAGAAGCTGTCGGACCACCCTGAGTTGGTCACGGGGTTCAGGTCCGGCATCAGGAGTCTCCAATGGATGGCAGGAACAACGAAAGGCAGCTTGAGTGCCGACGTGTCCTTGCTGCGAAGAAGCCCACCAAGCTGACGGTGGCCGAGCTTGTGGAAGTTAACAAGGTTCTGCATGTCAAGGCCACGTCCACGGCGCACTTCCGCGTGAGCCCCATAAAGCTCGGAGACGCTGTCTTCCTCGCCTACGGCGACAGTGGCTGGGCCAATGCTCCTGGCAACAAGTCCCAGGGCGGCTATGTGGTGATGATGACGGACAAGGAGGTCGTCAATGAGACCCGGCAAGCTTTGAGGTCAACCCTTGCGGCTGAAGCAGCTTCTGAGGACTGTGCTACTGACATGGGCACCTTCATGGCTTGTGCGTTCACTGAGATGGCGAGTTTCGCAAGCGGATGGCGGCGCCTACGGCATCCTTGGTTGAGTCAAAGACTGCCGGGGCGGGCGCGGACAATTCAGCATGGCGGTGACACGTGAAACTGGTGCTCAGCCAGCAAAGACAATGAGGAGCGCAATTGCTGTACATGTCTTGGCATTCGCACCGTTTCATGCGCTTGGGCCATACAGGCTCGAGGAGGGACATTCCCATGGGTGTAAAACATGCGAGCTGCAGCCATGAGGCCGTGACTTAGATCCAGACTAGTCTCCTTTCAACGGGACCCGCAAATGTCAGAGGGCGCTGCGTGTCCCTGATGTTTGCCCTCTTGGTTCCGAAGGACCGAGCTGGGCGTGACCCGGCTGCCCCCAGAGCAGGATGCCCGGCGCCGCGCCAGCCGGGAAACCCAGCTCGGGGGGGTGGCACTGAGTTCAAGAGCAATGTTTTGGAGCCTTTTCGTGTGTTTTGAAGTGTTTTGGACTGTTTTGGTGTGTTGTGGAGTGTTTTGGAGTGTTTTGGTGTGTTTTGGAATGTTTTGAAGTGTTTTGAAATGTTTTGGACTGTTTTGGTGTGTTTTGGTGTGTTTTGGGTTTTGGTGTGTTTTGGAGTGTTTTGGAGTGTTTTGGTGTGTCTTGGACTGTTTTGGTGTGTTTTGGTGTGTTTCATTGGACGGTCCCCGCGTGGGTGTGTTGTTGTTCTTTGGGGTGGTTCGTTCCAGCCCCCGCGTTGTCTTTTAAGCGGGTGAGTTTGGAGAAACAGTCGTTGGATGTTTCGTGCGTATGCATGTGTTTGCTTGGTAAATTACTGTTTCTTTCGAGCACCAGATGATCCATGCTCCCCAAAGGGTGCTGGAAACAGAAGTTGCGTGCGTTTTCCAAGCACTTTCTCGAGGCGTGCAAGCCTAACAAACGGGGTATTTCATTTTAACATATTCCCCGAGCCTTGAAGCTTTAAACGAGGGCAAACGACCTCGCTGGCGAGGAGAGAAATCGGGGGAAAGAAGCTGTGCTGCACCATGCTGGCCAGGTTTTGTTTGGTGGAGCATGTGCGAGCGATTTTCTTCTTAAAAGCCTCTGTGCACTTGGGCCAGGTTGGCCCCCTTCAGTGATTTGGTGGGAAGCAAGTGGTGCTTCTCTTTGGAACAAAGTCACCGCTTGGAAGCAAGGTCATGTGTGTGTTGTATCGTATTTTGAATGCGTAGATCATGAATGCTTCCACTACCAAGCTGCGACGTGATCAATGAACCAGCTGCCCTTGCCTCGACCGCCACAGTTTGCGCTGCTGTGGCATCTGCTTCCTTGAGCGCAAGGGGCCCAGTGCGACGGTTTTGGCGTGCCGGGATTGGCATGCGGCAGTCTCCGCTGATGATCTCAAGCAGTTGGGCTCGGGCAGCGGCGTGACCAACGAAGTTTTTTTGGTTTTCGCTTCCTCCAAGTTGCGGGGAGGGCCTTGAAGACAATCAGTGTGCGAGCTGACCTAAGGAGCGGCTAGAGAGGTGATGCAACAAGAGTTGCGATTCATAATGTGTGTGTCTGTGTCTGTGTCAGTGTTTCGTCTCTCCAAATGGATCTAATCCACCTTGTGAGCGGCTATGCGGAACATCATACCACAAAAGGTTTAGGGGGTCGAGTGGAGCTCCACCTAGGATCTTCAAAAGCCGGGGGAGGGGGGGATTCTGACCCTCCCACAGCTATGCCTTCATGTTTCAGCTTAAGCAAGGAGAGCCTGTCTCAGCCCAAAGGAAAGTCGCTTGCAAGGAATCAAGGAGCAAAAAACAACAAATACGGGTCTTGTCTTTGTGTCAAAGCTGGGAGTGGGGGCTTCTTCGAGCAACCAACAACCCAAGCCATGAGTCGCGGTCAAAATGTGGATACTAGGTGGTCAAAAGTTGTTGATCATGAATGTTGGTCATGAACCCTCAAATCAACATCTTTCACTGTGGCCTTAAAAGTGGAATTTAACCGCCTTCGGCGTGTTCCGCCGGCCTCCACGGCTAGGGAGCCTACGCGCTCAACCAAACCAAGACCCGAAGCGGAGCCAATCCAAGATGCAAGATGTGCTCAAGCACAGCCCAACACCCAAGCCCAAACCAAGTTCAGTCCAAGTCCAACCCAAGACCCTAGGCCCAACCAAAGTTCAACCCCAGACCCGAAACCGAAGCCCAACCTGTTTCAGGGGAGTGCAGTGGGGAAGCTGCCAAGCTTGATCTGGGGATCCTTCCCAGATGAACGTCTGTTTGAAAGGGTCCAAGAGTTTCTGACACGCACACTTTGGCTGGCCATACGTATCTGGGAAGCATTCCAAGCTGGCAAAATGTGCATTGCATTGATCGAATGGTGGCCGAATTGTCCGCTGCATTCTTGGCTGAAGTTGCGGAGCGCAGCAAGGCGAGCTCAGGACAAGCACGTGTGACCATAGTCTTGTCGGTACTTTTGCGGAATCAATGCTTTTGCTGACTGGGCTCAGGAGCCGCGAGTGCAGCAAGGGTCTTGTTGGATTTTGTGGAATCTTGGCAGGTACTGCAACCTGAGCAAGCGATTCTCCGCGAGCCGAGCAACCGGCAACGACCAAAACAAGCAGCGGCCGGGGGGGGGGGGAGGGGGGGGGAAAAAACTGTAAAAAGGCTGGGCCTGAGGGGTGGCCCGTTGAGGGTTGGCTGTTATGGTTTTTAGGTTGCTGTTTAATCTGTTATCCACCTTGTTCGTTTTTTTTCTGGCTGTTTTTGGGGAGGTTTTTTATCGTTTTGTTAGAGCTAGTCAATTGGGTAATTGTCCACCTGTTTCATTGTTGGGCTGGGGGGCAATGTTTTGAAGGTTTGAAAGAGTTAAGGCTTTAAGTTATTATGTTGTCTGGGGTGTTGGGTGGGTCTTTTGGTTTTCTGTTTTTTCGTGTATTGTTATTTACTTTACTTCTGCACTCGCAACAATTTTTATACCTTCTTCCACTTTTTACACAACCGAACTCATCAAACGTTTTCTCATAAAGACACCTATTACATTTGAAGAATTCACCGTAATCGTTTTTCGCTTTTTCTTCGGTCATTCCAAAATTCATCATTATAGTATTTTTGACAACCATTTCTTGTAATTATTGCTCACTTGTTTTTATGTGATTTTCGTGTGCTTTTCGTGTGTTATAGATTGAACGTATAAAACTTTTCAACGAGACAGGACTGACTGAATGGTCATTTGGGAACTGTCCCAAAGGGGTAGCCTTCCACCCTACCCTTCATAGGGGTAGACCACCCCGAAGTGGGGGGACACCCAGTCCCAAATGTTCCGGGACCAGGGTCCCTTTGACTTTTGGAACCCGCAATAGCTTTTGCGACGGAACTGCTTACGACTATGGTTTTAGAAGTGCGCCCCTTCAAGGGGCACAAAGCACACCGGCACATCTCAAAGCAAACAAGATTTCACTAATCAAATTAGCAGGGATTTTATACAGTTCATCTTGTTTATGTTTAATGTATCCCTCGCCCCAATCTGATTTTTTACCCGATGGCAACCGTTGAGCAGTTTCAAGATGCTTCCCATTCCTAACCTTTCCACAATCCCCACAACACAAGGGCTTAGGTCTCCATGTTGTTATGTTAGTCCACAACCTCGCTCTCTTCCTGTAATTAAACCCATATTTACAATTATCCACATCGTAATATTTCAAGCCACTCATGAAGCATTGCTCCTTTAATAATCCTGTTTGAGGATTTTCTATTACCCAGTATTGGGGATTGAAATAGTCAATAATCTCAAGAGTTTTTAAAACGATACTATTAGCATAATCTATTTTTCGGACACCAGTAGTTTTAGCACGACTGTATTCAGTGCAAGGCGGAGAAGCCCAGATAAAGTCAAAATGGTTTCTGTCAAACCGTTTATAGTCCCATTCAAGTATATCACAATTAATATCAGCATTTTTCAATTCCAATGATATAACATTATAACCGAGCGACCTCGCAACAGTCCCAACTGACCCTGTCCCACTAAACATCTCTAATAAGTTCATTTTCTTATTAGAGATATTTAGATATTAATATTTTCATCAATTACATTGTCATTTGATTTACTTGATTGACATTTGATTGATTGTTGATGTTTCTTCACCCAGTCATTCCTGATAAGTTGATGACGCACATTACATTCAACCTTTTTACTTCGTTCTTCCTTTTTCCTCTGATACTTTGCTTTGTCATATTCATTTAGTTTATCACGGTTCAGTTCTCTGTATTCTTTGTTATACTCCTTTCTATGTTCTTTCACTTCTGGTTGTTGCCTGTATTCTACTGCTGGTCTTCCCGTGACTTGCTTATTCAAACAATCTGTTTTGCTTATATGGTGTCCTTCTTGTCTCTGTAATTCTTCTTTGTTATTACACTGATAACGTTCAAACAATTCAATTTTACAATTTTCCAAACCGTATTCATCAAATAGTTCACATGATGTCATCCTTCCATATTTTCCGTTTTGATGTATTTTGTAATTACTTCTATGTCTTGTCATTCTCTGGCTTAAACTTTCACAGGTGCTTCCTATGTAGCATTTGTTATAACCAATGTCAGTTATTTTGTAAATTTTACCATTCTTATATCTACAAGTATCCATTAATAACAAAATATACCTTTTCTTTAGGAGTGTTTTAAGGAATATTGTCCATACGGCAAAGAGTTAAAAGCATCAAAGTAGTGTCTTTTATTTTCATAATTACTAAGAGATTGCTTAACCTGACATTGAAAATATTTGGTGAGATTTACTTCTGATAAAGTTATATGTTATTTCGTGCTTCTTGTTATGGTATAGTGCTTCTTCGTAGTTTTTATATGACAGTTCTTTCTTAACCTTATGTTTCACTACACCTTTTGATTTCTTGTGTTCATCATCCTCACCGTATATTGTGAAAGCGTATGATTTAGGTTTTAGACCTATGAATTTTGTGGTTATTTGACCGTTGCATTCATCTTGAAATAACCGAGCTTTTCTTATTTGTTTTGTCATGGCATGGATGTTCTGGTGGGTAATCACTAAAGTCCATATATTGACTTAATTCTTTGAAGTCTTTGTAGATGTCCTCAGTGAATGTTTGAATTACATAACTGTCAGTATCAGTA